GACCTGCCTACAGTTACCAGCAGTTAACCCACATCAGGAGATTAATCCACTCTTAACCTAATTAGTCAACTTCTGAATGTTCTTGCATTGTGTCACATGCGAGTTTTCCGGGCACACCATAACAAGGCATATAGACTGACTAATGCGCAAACGGGGACAATTGCAGGGTGTGGTGACCCACCAGCCCCAAGTCCTACAAAATCACCACCCATTTTTCTCTACAGGGGAGGCAGAGAATGGAGAGTGCAGGCTCTTGAGGGTGTGTAAGTGGTTCCTAGGGGAAGATGGTCCTGTGACAGAGCTGGCTTGCAGCGTCCTTGGGGGGAGGCTGTGCAGAGGTGGCCACAGCCCTCAGCCCACCTGAGGGAGAACACGGGCCTCAGGGGGAGGGTGTGGGGTGACAAAGGCGCCTCATGGGGCATCATTCTCTGAGTTCCAACATCTCTGCGGATGGCTCTCTGCTCTTGTCCTCCTCTGGACACACAGGTGGTAAGCACTGCTTTGCCCCTGGTCCTCTGTCCACTGCCATGCTGGGTGGATGCATCCTGGAATTGCAGAAGTCAGTGTGGCCAGACTCGGACCGAATTGGGGAAGAGTGTGTTTTCTGATACCTGGAAGCACATCAACCAAAATGGTCACTCCCACTTAGCAGGACGTCAGCAGTGGGTCAGAGCCTCACGGGGCAACCTCTTGTGCACATGGCCGCTGTGTGTCCCTGAAGGACCATTTCCAGGCGCAGGTCGAATCATGACTTGTGTCCGGATACAACAGGGGACACATGTTGAAGGTGATGTTTTCCACACGCAGTAGGAGGAAACCAGGCGGATGCTAGGCCTGCTTCCTAGGAAGAGCAAAAGCAGCACTAATTAAGTGGAGGAAAGGCATTTTGAACTGGAGACAGGTGAGTCTTCCAGAGGGAAGGAAGCCCGCCACCCACTCCAGGACAGGCTGTCCCGAGTTGTGCTCATCCGCTGAGGGGGATTCGCAGCCTGCTGCAAGACCGTTCGGAGACAGTGGCCGGCCAGAAGTACACGCCGCCATGGCTTCCACCAAGACAATAACCAGGGCTTAACCAGCTGGGGATCATCTTGAACTTCTTCCTATTGATGATCTTCCTACCTGTCAAAGGTTGTCTACGTTTTCAAAGCTCAGAGCAAAGATTTTCATTAAAATATGCTCACTGGGATTGATTAAAAATCCAACACCAAGATCAAGAGAAAACAGCTTTGGCCAATCACAAAAATAACAACTTTCCCTGAAGATAAAGCTCTCAAGACAGCATTAGTGTTGTTGGTCATGTAACTCGAGGAGGGGGAGGAGGAGGAGAAGGGG